CCCGGGCCTGTGACCAGGGCCTCCATGCAACATAGGGTCCCCTACCTTGGGGAAGTGAAATGTTTCTAGGAAGGGGCTAGGGTCTAGGGGCTAGGGACCCCTTTCCCAGAAACCTCTTTTTTTCTTTTTTTTGTTTAAAAAAGACGTAAATTTATTTTTTTCGTTTTAAAACCTGTAATGCACCAGGGTCTTAAAAAAGCATTTTTCCTATACGCTAACATCAAGAATACTTTAATTCCTAAGAGGGGAATAAAGCAGTCGTTCAATGTTCTTATTTGACAGCCGTGTTCTCAAGCGTACCCACGGATCAATCTTAAGCTTCATTCGCCACATAGTAAATGATAATTTGGATTTCTTCATACCCAGCCAAAATTTGATTGACCAGATAGAACTGTGCGTGAACTACATCTGTTTTAGCTTCCAGGAACACGTATATAAACAATACTTTGCTTTAGCTATGAGCTTCGTCATCACCGCAGTTCTGGCTAATTTATATATGGAACATTCGGACTCACCCGCATCATACCCAACATTCCTAGTACTGTCAAATGGATACAGTTGTTGGAGACATATTGGTCATAGCACCAAGAAGGTTAAACATACAGAACATCCTGAGGACTATTAATAGCTCTGAACTCATTATCAGATTCACAGTAAAAGAGGAAGGCAAACTGCTTACGATTCCTCGATGTTTTATTCCACAAGGCATGAGAGAGACCCATGCTCCAAGTGTTCAGGAAACATATAGATAAGAATTACTTATTACATTTCTATTATCCTGACACCAGGACCAAGAGAGGCTTCGTTAAGGAATATTTTTTTCGAGATTTTAGGATTTCCAGTCCTCGATACCCAGAAGAGTGTGAGTACCTCAGATAGGTCTTCCAGCATTTTCACATGTATTCTCAGCAGAAACAACATATGCAAGGCAACAGACCTGCTCACCAAACATATCGTCTTTATAGTAACGTGGCTATTAACAGACGGTCATGTGTAAGTAGCCACCAACGCTTCGGCATCCATCAAAGAATTAATGAAAAATAAGAAGAGAGACAGACACTCCCAGTTTCAATCAAGGCTGACGTGTACATCAGACCTTGCGGAGGTTACGACAAAAACCACGTAGGCAAAACATCTAGAACACACATTTACTTGCAGGCGGGACAATGCAACAGTACAGACACACGAAATTCAACGAAACCAAATTGGTAATTCGAGAAAATGATTTACGCCAACACAAATGCTTGGAAGCCTCCGTGTTAGCTATCACCAACATAAAAGCCAGGCAGCTATAGCACCGTGTATCCAGAACTCTGATAAAACAGTTGCTGTCCAACAGTGACACCTCACTTAGAGGATACTAGATAAACCCCACGAACCCTACCTCCTGTATGTCACCCTGCTTTTGAACTGTGTTCACCTGACCTCTTGTACTATATATATACTGTTTGTTCTAGCTGCTCTGTATTAGGACTGAAGCAGCCACCCTCGGCGAAATGTTTATTTAATAACTGTCTTTATCAGTTTGTACGTGACTTTTACCTGCAACTTGTTAGTGTCGCCATACCACTTCCAGCCGATGTATTTATACTCGAGATACCCACCTTGATGTACACCTACTGAGAAATATACACCTTCCGATGCACATATTTCCCTAGTCATGCACACTTTTTGGTATATATAAACTTCTTAATGTATATATATACACATATACATACATACGCGTATGTACACTGATAAATGCACATCGCTGGATGTATATATTCTGTGAGACATTTTGTGGTTGTGTTTTAAGCCCATATACTACATAAGATAAGATAAGAGATAAGATTTCGTTCGGATTTTTAACCCCGGAGGGTTAGCCACCCAGGATAACCCAAGAAAGTCAGTGCGTCACCGAGGACTGTCTAACTTATTTCCATTGGGGTCCTTAATCTTGTCCCCCAGGATGCGACCCACACCAGTCGACTAACACCCAGGTACCTATTTGCTGCTAGGTGAACAGGACAACAGGTGTAAGGAAACGTGTCGGAATGTTTCCACCCGCCGGGAATCGAACCCGGGCCCTCCATGTGTGAAGCGGGAGCTTTAGCCACCAGGCCACCGGTCATTAGGCTACATGTCACCTGTACACCACTACTCCAGAACACTTTGATCCTTGAAATGACTTCTTAATCATAAGATGACGGGTCATCTTATGATTAAGACCCGTGCCAGGCCGTGTACTGGTCATTATTAAACAAGCACGACTCACGATTGTAAACAAAACACGGTACGGGTGGTATTAGAACCCATGGCAAGTGAGTGGTAAAAGTCCAGGCGAGTGCGTAAGCCACTGGACAGCTGACTACAATAAGATTCATCCAACTAGGTATATTTATACGCCATAGGAAGGTAAGCATGAGCCCCGGTCCTTGCTTACCTTCATCAGGTTAATGGTTCTTATAGGCCTATTGTCACTCGCAAATTTTGTCAAACGTTTCCTGTGTCGACACATGATACTGGCAAGGTTAAACGTGTTAGTTTAGTGCAAGGTCAAACGTGTTGTCACTGTAGTATAACTTCAAACGTGTTGTCAGTGAAGTACATAGTCAAAGGTGTTGTCAGTTCAGTACAAGGTCAGAGGCGTTGTCACTACAGTCACTGAATTAATATTGATATTTGTCGACGCTGTCTCTAGTTTTTGTTGTTAGGTCTACATGTCAGAGGTGGTGACAGTCAGTGGTAACTGACGTTCAGTAGCGAGTCTTCTAAATCACAGACGCGGGTGTTTTAAACAAATAACAAGTCTTCTAAATCACAGACGCGGGTGTTTTAAACAAATAACAAGTCTTCTAATCAACAGACGCGGTGATTTAAAAACAAATAACAAGTCTTCTAAATCACAGACGCGGGTGTTTTAAACAAATAACAAGTCTTCTAAATCACAGACGCGGGTGTTTTAAACAAATAACAAGTCTTCTAAATCACAGACGCGGGTGTTTTAAACAAATAACAAGTCTTCTAAATCACAGACGCGGGTGTTTTAAACAAATAACAAGTCTTCTAAATCACAGACCGCGGGTGTTTAAACAAATAACAAGTCGTTCTAAATACACAGACCAGATGTTTTAAACAAATAACAAGTCTTCTAAATCACAGACGCGGGTGTTTTAAACAAATAACAAGTCTTCTAAATCACAGACGCGGGTGTTTTAAACAAATAACAAGTCTTCTAAATCACAGACGCGGGTGTTTTAAACAAATAACAAGTCTTCTAAATCACAGATGCGGTAGTTTAAACCAACTAACAAGTCTTCAAATCACAGCCGCGGGTGTATTTTAAACAAATAACAAGTCTTCTAAATCACAGATGCGGGTGTTTTAAACAAATAACAAGTCTTCTAAATCACAGACGCGGGTGTTTTAAACAAGTAACAAGTCTTCAAAATCACAGTCACTAGTATTCTATAGCAGTCTGGAATGTTATAAATTAGTCACAGGTGTTCTAAATCAGTGACATCTGTTCTAAATAACAGACAAGAGGGTTCTAAATTGTCATGGTGTTCTCAATCAATCACAGGCATTATAACAAGACATTATAGCCGGGTACACACATTCACGTCTTCCTTCTTGGAGTTCATTCCTTCCAACCTCAAGTGTTAACTCGTTTTTGAAGGCGCTGTTTTGACTGTTATTTTTTGGTTATGTTTTGATTGTAATAATGATAATAACAAGACAAGCCAGTATTTTCATTTTTGCTATAACCTGCTGAAGTTTTATAATTTAACTGTAAAATAATGGATTTTTAGCCAAAATGTTTTAATTTTAGTGGTAACCAGTAAATAATAATAATATAATCGAAAAAATCGTAAATTATCACTATTTTCGATTAAAAGTGTGGATAATCCTATCATATTTTAGGTAAAAATCGATGTCAAAAAGTGCTGAGTTTTCCGTACCTGCCTCCAGCAGTCAGCGGTCCCAACACAGTCATCATCAAGGGATGCCCACAACAAGGAGATGTGACAGAGTGTCGGCGTTGCTGAAACGAAATACATTATGCTAAAGTGTCGTGTTGGATCAAGCCTGGCCAGTCGTGTGGTATGTCCTGTAACGTACCTTTTTTGTATTTTTTTTGGGGGGGTTAGTACCAGGCATCGTCCTCGAACCAGGCATCTGTACCACCGCACCAGTACCTCTGTACAACGTACCTGTACCTCTGTATCAGGCACCTGTATCTCTGTACCACGTAACTGTATCTTTGTACCATGCACCTGTACCTTTGTACCCCGCAGTTATATCTGTACCACACCTGTAGCTTTGTACCAACGCACCTGTAGCTCTCTCTAACTATACCCTCACCTGTAACCTCTTATCACACACCTGTAACCTCTGTACTACACACCTGTACCTCTGTACCACGTATCTTTGTACCGGGGGGGGGGGGGACCTCTACAGCACGTTTTACCTCTGTAACACATTACATGTACACGACACCTGTGCCGCTGTACCGCACACCTGTACCTCTGCACCACGCACCTATACCTCTGTACCACGCACCTGTACCTCTGCACCACGCACCTGTACCTCTGTACCACGCACCTGATACCTCTGTACCACGCACCTGTACTCTGCAACACGCACCTATACCTCTGTACATCGCGCACGCTGTACCTCTGTACCACGCACTGTACCTTGCACCACGCACCTGTACCTCTGTATCATGCACCTGTACCTCTGTACCACACACCTGTACCTCTGCACCACGCACCTATACCTCTGTACCACGCACCTGTAACCTCTGCACACACGCACCTGAACCTTGTACCCGCACCTATACCTCCTGTAACCACACTCTGTACCTCTGCAACCACCACCTGTACCTCTGTATCATGCACCTGTACCTCTGTACCACGCACCTGTACCTCTGCACCACGCACCTGTACCTCTGTACTACGCACATCTGTATTCCAGCGAGGCAGCTCAGAAGGATGGATTGTAGGAGATGGAACACCTACCTGAGGGTGGAGGACGCAGGAGGAGCAGGAGGAGAAGAGCCAAGCAGGCCAACCCCAGCAGGAGGGCCAGAGCAAGCAGGTACCGTTCCAGCACTGTCGTTTTGGAGCATTTCCCCGACTCTGCTCGCTGCGGCCTTTCCTGCTGCTGTTGTTGTGTCCCCGTGTTGCTCCAGGCGTCGGCCTCCTGAAGGGGGTTCTCGTGGATAGTGACACGTACCTCCCCAGCGTCGTTTTGGTGAGCGTCCCCATCGTCTGGGTCCTCCTTGCTGAGGGGTAGGAGTTCGCTGGGGTGCGCGGCCCCGGCGTCCCCTTTGGTTCCCCCGGGGACGAAGCCGTTTTTGTGCGTGTCGGCCGAGTGCAGCATGGTCGCTGTCAGCGCATGGAACCCCACACTGTCCGAACACCACGACCGCTACCTCACCACTGAGCTGCTTCTCGCCCCACCCACCTATACCACTCCACGCACACGCACGCACACACACACACACACACACACACACACAACACACACACACACACACACACACACACACACACACACACACACACACACACACACACACACACACATGGGCTAGAAGAAGCTAAAGGGGAAACTTATGATGAAAGAAAGCAGGAGGAGAAAAAAGCGATTGAAGATATCATGAAGGTGATAGGCGAGGGGGACATGACCCAGGTGGCAAATTTTCGGAGAATTGGTGTGGTTCACAAAGAAAAGGAATCCGCCTTCAAAGTAATTTTCAAGGCAGAATCAACCCGAACCATGATCCTGCAGGAGAAAGCACAGCTGAGAGGCAAGCAGGAGTTCCGGAGTGTGTACCTCGATCGAGACAGAACACAGGACGAAAGGAAGACAATGAAAGAGAGAGTTCAAAAACGAAGAAAAATGGGAGGAAATGAAAAAGGAGAGCAGAATAATCCAGGACAAATGGAAGGACAAGCGCACCCCCCAGAAACACCTGCAGAAGGACTCCAGCCACGACACACCCCAAGGCAACTGAACAATCCAAACCAACCATCACACACCGATCCCTCTGTTTCCACCCCCCGCACCACAGTTACAGTATTAGAACAGAAGTTGAAGGTTTGGTACACAAATGCAAATGGATTAACGAATAAACATGAGGAATGGCAAGAAAGAATCAATGAGAAGTCCCCAGACATCATAGCAGTTACAGAAACAAAACTCATGGAGACAATAACAGATGCAATCTTCCCACCAGCATACCAGATCATGAGGAAAGACAGAAAGGGCAGGGGAGGAGGTGGGGTTGCTCTGCTCGTAAAAAACAGATGGAAATTCGAGAAAATGGAAGGAATAGATGAGACGGGAGAAAGAGACTACATAGCAGGTACAATTCAGTCTGGGGAACACAAAGTGGTCATTGCAGTGATGTATAATCCACCACAGAACTGCAGGAGGCCAAGAGAGGAGTATGAAGAGAGCAACAGAGCAATGGTGGACACACTTGCTGAGGTGGCAAGAAGAGCTCACTCCAGCAGAGCAAAGTTGCTGGTTAGGTGGGGGATTTCAACCACAGGGAGATTGACTGGGAAAACTGGAGCCACAATGGGGGTCCCGAAACATGGAGAGCCAGGATGTTGGACGTGGTGCTGGAAAACCTCATGCACCAACATGTTAAGGACACTACCAGAGTGAGAGGGGAGGATGAACCAGCAAGATTGGACCTTGTGTTCACCCTGGGCAGCTCAGATATTGAGGACATCAAGTATGAGAGTCCCCTAGGAGCTAGCGACCACGTGGTTCTGTGCTTTGAATACATAGTAGAGCTGCAAGTGGAGAGAATAACAGGAGTTGAATGGGAAAAGCCTGACTATAAAAGAGGGGACTACATAGGGTTGAAGAACTTCCTGCGGAGGTCAGTGGGACAGAGAACTGGCAGGAAAGCCAGTAAATGAAATGATGGAATATGTAACAACAAAATGCAAGGAGGCAATGGAAAGGTTTATTCCCAAGGGCAACAGTAACAACAGGAAGACCAGAACGAGCCCCTGGTTTACCCGACGGTGTAAGGAGGCAAAAACAAAATGCAATAGAGAATGGAAAAAGTACAGAAGGCAGAGAACACACGAAAATAGGGAGATCAGTCGCAGAGCCGGGAATGAGTACGCACTGGTAAGGAGGGAGGCCCAGCGACAGTATGAAAATGACATAGCATCGAGAATCAAGACTGACCCGAAACTGTTGTTATAGCCACATCAGGAGGAAGACAACAGTCAAAAACCAGGTGATCAGATTAAGGACAGAAGGTGGAGAACTCACAAGAAATGATCAGGAGGTATGTGAGGAGCTGAACAGGAGATTTAAGGAAGTTTTTACAGTAGAAACAGGAAGGGCTGTGGGAAGACAGCACAGAAGGGAACATCAAGAGGGAATATACCAAACAAGTGTTGGATGACATACGAACAACTGAGGAGGAGGTGAAGAAGCTCTTAAGTGACCTTGACACCTCAAAGGCGATGGGACCGGACAACATCTCCCCAAGGGGTCCTTAGAGAAGGAGCAGAGATGCTGTGCGTGCCTCTAACCACAATCTTCAACACATCCTTGAAACTGGGCAACTACCTGAGAAATGGAAGACAGCTAATGTTAGTCCCCATATTTAAGAAAGGAAACAGAAACGAGGCACTAAACTACAGACCTGTGTCTCTGACAATGTATTGTGTGCAAAGTCTGGAGAAGATTATCAGGAGGAGAGTGGTCGAACACCTGGAAAGGAACAAGATTATAAATGAAAACCAGCATGGGTTCATGGAAGGCAAATCTTGTATCACAAACCTCCTGGAGTTTTATGACAAGGTAACAGAAGTAAGACACGATGAGAGAGGGGTGGGTAGATTGCGTTTTCCTAGACTGCAGGAAGGCCTTTGACACAGTTCCCACAAGAGATTAGTGCATAAGCTGGAGGAATCAGGCGCACGTAAAAGGGAGGGCACTGCAATGGATAAAGGGAATACCTGACAGGGAGGCAACAACGAGTCATGGTACGTGAAGAGGTATCACAGTGGGCGCCTGTTACGAGCGGGGTCCCACAGGGGTCAGTTCTAGGACCAGTGCTATTTTTGATATATGTGAACGACATGATGGAAGGAATAGACTCTGAAGTGTCCCTGTTCGCAGATGACGTGAAGTTGATGAGAAGAATTAAATCGGACGAGGATGAGCAGGACTGCAAAGAGACCTGGACAGGCTGGACATGTGGTCCAGCAACTGACTTCTCGAATTCAATCCAGCAAATGCAAAGTCATGAAGATTGGGGAGGGGCAAAGAAGACCGCAGACAGAGTATAGGCTAGGTGGACAAAGACTACAGACCTCACTCAGGGAGAAAGACCTGTGGTGACCATAACACCGAGCACATCACCGGAGGCACACATCAACCAAATAACCGCTGCAGCATACGGGCGCCCTGGCAAACCTGAGAATAGCGTTCCGATACCTTAATAAGGAATCGTTCAAGACACTGTACACTGTGTATGTTAGGCCCATACTGGAGTATGCAGCACCAGTCTGGAACCCACACCTGGTCAAGCACGTCAAGAAGTTAGAGAAGTACAAAGGTTTGCAACAAGGCTAGTCCCAGAGCTCAGGGAATGTCGTACGAGGAAAGGTTAAGGGAAATCGGACTGACGACACTGGAGGACAGAAGGGTCAGGGGAGACATGATAACGACATACAAGATACTGCGGGGAATAGACAAGGTGGACAGAGATAGGATGTTCCAGAGAGGGGACACAGGGACAAGGGGTCACAACTTGAAGCTGAAGACTCAGACGAGTCACAGGGACGTTAGGAAGCATTTCTTCAGTCATAGAGTTGTCAGCAAGTGGAATATTCTAGCAAGTGAAGTAGTGGAGGCAGGAACCATACATAGTTTTAAGAAGACGTATGACAAAGCTCAGGAAGCAGAGAGAGAGAGAGGATCCAGTAGCGATCAGTGAAGAGGCGGGGCCAGGAGCTGAGTGTCGACCCCTGCAACCACAATTAGGTGAGTACAATTAGGTGAGTACACACATACACACACACACACACACACTGCACGCGCACACAGAACTTAAGTCGGTCAAAAGTTAAGAGGCGGGGTAAAAAATTGGAACTCACCCCTTCCTCAAACTCAAAGCGAGAACTACACACACACACACACACACACACACACCACAACCAAAAGCATAGATATGCACACACACACGCTCGCCCAACACACAAATATACAATATACACAAACACACGCACATATATACACGTATGCACACTCACATGCGTACACCAACAACTGCTGGACACACTACACAGAACTAAGGAGGAGGTGAAGAGTCTGCTAAACGAACTTGATATCTCAAAGACGGTGGTACCAGACATCTCTCCATGGGTTCTGAGAGAGGGAACAGATGCGCTGTGTGTGCCACTATCAACAATCTTCAACACATCTTTCGTAACAGGGTAACTACCTGAGGTGTGGAAGACAGCAGATATAGTCCCAGTTTTCAGGAAAGGAGACATAGCATTAAGCTACAGACCAGTGTCGCTGACATGTATAGGTTGCGAAGTCATGGAGAAGATTATCAGGAGGAGAGTGGTTGATCATCTAGAAAGAAATGAGCTTATACACGATAACTAGCACGGTTTCAGTGAAGGAAAATTCTGTGTCACATACTCACTGGAATTTAACGAAATTATTATTATTATTTTCATCAAAACTAAGCGCTAGACCCTTCTGCTGTTTTCTTTGACTTTCCCCAATCCTCATGACTTTGCACTTGGTGGGGTCAGATTCCAGGACGAGGCTTGCTGCGTGTCCAGATCCCTCTGTAGTCTTACCTGCTCCTTGTCCGCTTGAATTCTCCACATTAGCTTGGCATCATCTGCAAACAGAGACACCTCTGAATCGATCCCTTCTGTCATGTCATTAACGTATGTATACCAGAAACAACACTGTCCCTACGACTGACCCTTGTGCAACCCTGCTCGTCACATATGCCCACTCTGATACCTTGTTCCGTACCATCACTCGTTGTTTCCTTCTTGTCAGCTATTTCCTGATCCATTGTAGTGCCTTTCCTGTTATTCCTGCCTGCTGCTCTAGTTTTTGCTCTAATCTCTTGTGTGGAACTGTGTCGAAAGCCTTCTTACAGTCCAAGAAAGTGCTGTCTACCCACGCCTCTCTCTCTCTCTCTCTCTCTCTCTCTCTCTCTCTCTCTCTCTCTCTCTCTCTCTCTCTCTCTTCTCTCTCTCTCTCTCTCTCTCTCTCCTGTCTTCTGTTACCTTGTGATGCAGGATTTCCCTTCCCTGAAGCCGTGCTGATTATCATGTATGATCTCGTTCCTTTCTAGGTGCTCCACCACTCTTCTGATGATCAACATAACTTTACATACTGTGCATATAGCGACACTGGTCTGTAGTTTAGTGCTGCCTCTCTATC